CCGGCCCTCCCTGCATATCATCCTTGCACAGGGGCCATGCGAATCTTCTTTCTCTGTACCGTTCCAATTTTAACGGATGTGTCGAAGGACTGTCGTTTGTTTGTTTTTTTCTTAATTCTAAAGAATCTATACCTTTTTCTTTGTTGTTTTGTTTGACAAACCCTGATATGCCATCGAAAGCCAATCGGTTCATTCATTTTCACTGTGCCGAGAGTCCCGAGACGCACCTTATATTTTGCAACCTAATTTGTTGCACACTTACAATCAATTTGTTCTAACTTCTAATTGATTGCTAGGTACAATAAATAACATCCTGTACAAGCTTATGCGAGGATTGAGCCCTCGCAAGGCCCTTCTCGGGCATGAACACCTTCTGGGCTCAGGGCCCCAGCAAGCCTCAAGCCGGCCCTAAGTGAAGGCGGGCCTGTACATCCAGGAGAGGCCTATTTTTGACATTTTTTGTATGTGGGGTACCAGACAGTTGCAGCACGGCGGTTGGTTACAGAGCAACGTGAGACTTCCCTGGCTCCTTCCAGAAGCAGCAGCTGTGTCGTACAGTTGAGCCCAGGGCACATTCGGTTGAGGCCCTGGGCACACACATCCAGAGGCCGACATGTCACATAGTGGCCGCGGACCAATGAGAAAGCAGCGCCTGCGTCACACACATTCCACGAGCCAATGAGAACGCACCGAACACTTGAAGCCTCGTGGGCTACCTGGACGTTCCCAACTGCACGGGGCCCATACCAGTATCTGAAGCTGGGCCTGGGTGCAGACACTTTGGGCCAACCTGAAGCTACTGGGCCCCTACACGCCAGGCCCAGAGCGGGCAGAAGCCAGGCTCACTTTCCATAAAGGAAAGTGAGTGCCCTGGGGCATGGCATTCTGGCCTGAGCAGGCAATGTGGCCACGCTGCTGCTTTGCTGTGCGATAGATGCGCTAAGCAGGCAGGCTGGGGCGCACGCGGGTGCTTAGAGGTGAGAGGGCGCTGCAGTGGCAGGGGGCGCACGGCGGCCATAGCCGGGCTGCGCGTGCGGCGGCTGGTTATGGCGATGGTGGTCTTCGTGTAGGAGGCACATGCAGAGGGGAGACAGGGGTGATGAGGAGAGGTGTGAGACACGTACCTGGTGTATGCTGGCGGTCTGCATTGGCGATAAGGTCACGTACATTGGTCTTCAACTTCGATGTGCTCCGGTTGCAAGAATGTAGATAGGCTTGGTAGGCTGAGTAGTGTAGGCTGGGTGCTGGGCATCAGACAGTAGGAGCGGCATTGGATACTATGTTGGTGTGGCCAGAGACCGTCGACATTGACATTCAAGTTCATTGGATTGCTCTTATTTGGATGATATCTTGGTGCATTGTGCTCTCTGCTTGGGACATTACTATCTGGGCTACTTCGTGATTTTGCGATTCGGATTTCTGTCTATTGCTCCCACTCATATTCCTTGCAATCTGGTATCAGACCTGGTTCGATATTGCCGTTACCTGCGCTGGCGACTTTATTACTTGGTGTGCTGACGAAGCTTCTACGCAGTGAGGATACATTGGCGCTGGCTCGATTAGCCACTCCCGGGCAGAGGGGAGCGTGGCTGGAAGGCTGTGGCAGCAGCGTGGGAGCTGTGGTGACAGCGGATATATGTGGAATGATGAGAGCATGCTGACATTACATTTTGGCTGAGGTGGCACTCCATGGCATTGTGTGTGGTGCCGAGGCTGTGACCGATCATCAAAATGCACGTCAGCTCAATTGGTGAGAAATTTGTGGTTGGGGCAGCTATCGTCAGGTACGTTGTTCCCTTACCGCAACTTCCCATTGCAATTTCTTCTGACCGCGAGGAAGAGAGTTTGACTTGGGTGTCCTCTTCTGGTTCAGGAGTCGTGAGCGCTCTACCTTGAGAATCGACATTCTTCCTGGTGGCGCATCTGGCAGGAGAGGGAGGTGCTTGTGAAGGGCCTTGGTTGAAGCACGGGTGACGGTCACCATGCCAACCCATGGGAGTAGATCGTGCATGCTTTGCTGCTTTGTCCTTTGAGCTCTTGCTGCGCTGTAGAGGGGGTCGTGGACTGGCCAGTTACATGCTGCACCTGCACACAGGCCCCATTTGAGGGGCCCGACGGTTGCCGAGGGCCCCGCAGGCCGCGTGCCCATCCGACACGCGCCCTGGAGGCCCACGGCAGCCTTTCAGGCCACAGGTACGATTTGAGGCAGCACTTATTTGTTTATTTGCTGTCCTATTTTTGTCTCTTCGGACGTCGTTTTGGACTTGTAGTCCACAAGGCGAGGCCTTGGGCTAAATTCACGAGGAGGCAGGGCCGATCGGGGCCAGGCGCACTTTGGCGCCCTGCTGCATCAGCAGCACGGTCTGGACACTCGATAGGGGCCCCGACCGTGCGGGCCGTTTGAGGCTACGCTGCAGCACCCAGTAGGTCCCAGCGCTGTATATAGCTGGGCCACGACCTGGGCAGACACAGTTCGAGTAGCTCACTTCTGGAGCGACACGCTGCTGGACCAGGGCTGTGCTACTTAGCGCTGCCCCCTGGGGTTGAGAGTAGAGGCGTAGGAAGCAGAGGGGCGGAGGCCATACCTGCAAGGGGGGAGACTTACCTGGCGCCATAGCTGGGACTCCCGCGCGCGCCAACCTGCACACGACGAAGACAAGACAGTGGTCAGTACCGGCAGCGGTTCCTGCAGGTGAGACAGTGAGGAGGACGACATCATCTTCTTCTTCCTCAGTCTCCCTCTCGTCTCTCTCCTTCCTCCTTCCTCCTCCTCCTCCTTCTTCTTCTTCTTCAGAGAGAGAGAGAGAGATTATAGGCAGAGGTTACATCGGGCATAGCGCCCAGAATCTGATCCGATATTTTTGAGGCAGACATTGATTGGACATTCGGCAAGGGACTATGTTTGGACTTCGCTATCGCAATCTTGGTCTTCTCCCTCGCCTCATCCTTCGTCTCGCCTCTCCCCCCGTCTCTCATCCGTGGTATCTCCCCCATGTGTGTATACAAGGAGGGACCTTTCTTCTATGTGTGCGGTCCGTCCTCCTCTCACATGTGTGGTGTATGATGGGATGTCGCATCAGTCCCGGTCAGGTCAGGTCAGGTCTTATCTTTAAGTCTTCCCCTGCGCTACATTGTGCCATTTTGTATGTATCAGGATGTACATTGCTTGTTGATGCTTCACTGACATTGCACTGTCCATGTTAGTCCTTTTCATCACATTGCGGATCCTTGGCTCCATACACATTGCCCAACTGGGCATGTGTCGTATGTGAGACACGTACCAGACCATCTATAAAGAACCTCTGGTGGGGATCTGACACCTGGCTGTGATCGTTGTCCTGTTTGCGACGTTAAGTAATTCCTGAGGACTTCGGGGGCTGTTTGCGACGTTAAATAATTCCTGAGTGCATTCAGCATGACATATTACAGCATGTGGTTGTGCCACGTTATGCAAGGATTAGCATGGCAGCATCCAGAGTCACAACGACGGGCTCTGCACCACTGTCACCGGGCACAGCTGGAAGACACCCCACAGGTGAGGCTCAGCAGCACCGTGGGCAAGAGCAGCGGCAGCGAGGGCAGCAGCAGCAGCGGAAACTGCAGGAGGAGGAGCGGCTGGAGAAGCAGCAGGAACAGGAGCAGCAGCAGCAACAACACGAGGGGCCGCGGCTGGAGCAGGAACAGGAACAGGAACA